CACTCATATTTGCTGGACTTGCAGTGACCGCTTACACCATCCCTGTCTGTCCACTCCAAGACACTGCGATCGGCAAATGCCCCATGTCAACAATTTATTTGTATCTCTGTTGCAGACGGCACAGTGTTTGCATTTCTAGAATAAGACAGATGTTTAAGATGTGCTGCGTCCATTTTCAAGAAAAAGAAAACCAGGTACTAATACAACAAGGCGAGGACTAAGCAAGATACTAGTTGGGCTAAAGTGATAGAGGGCAGGGGATAAGAGGTATGTAGGGAGGGAGAGGGGAAGGGGCGGGAGAGGCATATATCAAAGAAATGCCTGTTTTGAAAAGTAATAGGGAGTAAGGTGTCTGGAAAGGAGAGGCATATTAAGCGGGGGAGGGGTAGAATGGGAGAGGGTGGTAAGTTGGAGTTGGCAGGCGGCAAATAATTTAAACCGGGATGTGTATTTCGATTTGTTTTTGTCGGGCTGTTCACCATGGGCGCCATTTCTCGGGCGACGAAGCCTTGCTACCGACCGACGGCGACGGCTCGCGGTGCTGTGGAGTGATAGTGCCTTCGGCAGACTGGACGCGGCAAGCACTGAGCCCAGGCTTGGCAGCGGCTCCGGTGCTCTGGGCACCGGCATGCCGCCATCGACGCCGACTGCGGCTGGATGGGGTTGAGGATGGATGCCAGGCGCGTGCGACGGTTCTCGGGATGCTCGCGCACGGTCTGGGAGGCCGCTGACGACAGCGGCGGTGAAAAGTGCCGCTGAAGCGAGGGAATGGGGCTCGGCGACTGCATGCTCCCACGCCGCCCGATGGTGGTCGGTGTTGTGGGCGACGGGATGTAAGGGGTGGGCACCTGGTGGCTCGTTACGACGGTGGTGGCAGTCGCGGCGGCTGACGCTGCTGCTTGAGCTCTTTCTGCTGCGATGTCAGCGTCGGAGGCGGCATCTGCACACGTGCAGCCTGGACTGACGGCGGCGGCGGCGGCAGGGCCAAGTGGATGGGCTGTGCTGGCTGCGCCTGGGCCTGCTGGCGGAGATGCTGGAGACTGTGCATGGAATGGCGGTGGTGGTGCGGTGGCGGCATCGACTGGGGTGGCGATGCGCGCATGGTCGGTGGATGCAGCTGGACGTGGGTGTGGATTGAGTGCCGCTGGAAATGATGCGTCTGGTGTGGTGGCTGCTGCTGGTGCTGCTGGGAAAATGTCTGGGAGTATAGTGCCGGTGGGTCAGCATTGCACTTCCACCGCTGCCAGTAACAGGTGACGTAGTCTGGGAAGCGGTGCCTCCGGGAATGGCGACGTGTGGGCAGTGGCAGGCACGGAGTGGTGGGGTGGAATTGGTGGGGGTGCGAGACGCCAATGGGCGAGCCCATGCCCGGCGGCGCCGGCGGCATATGGCTGTATCGGAACGGTGACTCGGCGGAGAGCCCCCGACAGGCTGATGGCGCTGATAGGCCGCTCAAGGCCGTGGACGCTGGCTGACATCTGGCCAATACCCGAAATGGCAGCAGGCTGTGCGGTTGATGTGTTTGGCGAGTGTGTGCGGCGACGCATCTCGGCACGCTCCTTTGTCTTCTGGCGCTGGTTCTGGAACCAGATCTGGACGTTGCGGGGTGTCATTAGCAGGCTATTGGCGAGGCGGAAGCGCAGGTCACTTGATGGGTATTGTGTGCGTTCCCAGACACGGAACAGTACGCGCAACTGGTAGGGTGTGAGTGTGGTGCGCGTGCGCCGGCGTGTGGGCTCGGCGCCGGCGTAGTGCTGTCGGCTGCCCCGCTGGAACGGGCACTGCCGCAGCTGCATCATGGCTGTTGGCCGAGCTGTTGGGCGATGGCGTGCTGTTGCCTGGCTGCCTCGCCTGGAGCTGCTGTTGCTGCTGCTGCTGCCAGAGCGCAGCCGGCGAGATGGGAACTGGCCGTCGTAATTGGGTACCAGGCAGTAGGGAGCCGGCAGCCCGCTGATGTTCTCGCTCTCGAGGATCTGCTGTAATTCTTGGTCGGAAATATCCGTCGTCTCTCGCGAATAAGGACTCCGGTGCATTGGCGCATTGACGTTGGCGCGACGAGAGGACCTCGCTGGTGGCTCTGGCTGGTAGCGAGAGGATGCTTTGAAATGGACGATGCGCGTGCGGGGGAAGAGAGGAAACAAGACTAGAGTGGATGTGAAATAGCCGCGCCGGAGGACTGATGAAGAGAGCTGAAGTCAGCAGCGACGGCGATGCGGTTGGCCCGGGACCCAGTGCCTGAGGGGGAGAAAAAGAATGCGGCAGCGGTGCAGAAGGTGGCTGATCTTGTACTTTGGCGTACATGAGCCAAGCGGGTGAGCCCTTTTGATGAAGGAGGGTGGAATGAACGGAAGTTGGGTGGGGGGTGCAAGTGGGCCGCAAATGAAAAATATCAAACAAGCGTGCTAATTCCCAATACTCAAAACAGGCAGGAAAAATAAATGAAAGTGCTGGTTTGTTGTGATGTTGTTGCTGCTGTCGCTGTAGCTGCTGGTCTGGTGCTGCTGCCAAGTTCAAGCAATGGCGGCTAGTGCGGGAATGCGTGTGGAGATGTGTACGTAAAAAAAATAAATGAATGGGATGCTGTGGGCCTTTGTGTTGCCAGCCAGAGTGGCTACTAGGAAGCGAGCGTTACTAAGGCTGAAATGTTGTGAGGATTGCTTCAATGATCGATTATCACTACAGGGAGAAGACGAGAAAGGCTTAGAAAACGACATGAGGATTCTGTGGAACCAGCGAGTGTTTATGTTTTCTTTTCGCTGCTTGTCAGAGCAAAACGGAAGCGCAATAATGGCGGTTACGTTTCAATTAGGGCAGGCGCTGCGCAATGAATGAAATGCACACAATTGAATGTAATAAAACCGCGGTGAAATAGGCAACAGAGCGTGCGCGGACATATGATGCTGCACGTACTCTTGGCAGACGACCGGGCCAGCCATCCATGAACCCAGCTGCATTCTAATTCAGCGGCCTGAGCAAGGGACAGCGGCAGCGGCAGCGGCAGCAATGGGCTCAATTGCGCACATCGTGCCCAAAACAAAGTTTTTACATGCACTGCAAATGAAGGGGGAAGGGAAACAAATGAGGCTTATTAACAAGCACTCTAATCTTCCTCCCCAAGACACAATCCAGACCTGTGGGTGCGCGCTGGCGCAAGGCAGACCAGGCTGGTGAGCACGAGCCCGATATTTACCTGATTTGGTTTTAGCGAGGATGCTGCACCGCTGTAGCGCTAGAACTGCCGAGAGCTGGGGGTTTGGAAGGTAAATATTTTAGAAACGCGTGGTATGCAGGTGCGAGTAACGATGGGCTTTTATCCATCCAAATTAAGCAGCGTGTGGGAGAAAATGAACGGAAACGGAGCAAATAAAGGTCTGCGCAAGTGCGTGAGTGGAGATAATGAGGAAATCGTCGTCTAATAGTCTTAGGAGTTCGCCAGGAACATATATGGTTATTCGAGCGGGCCGTCGTCAAGAGAGCCCTCAGGTGAAATAATAAAATGGCGTGTGCGGGTCTACTGCACAGGAGAGAAGCCAGAAGGTAGAAAAGTAAGAAAGAAAAGAAAAGGTGTAATCTTTTAGTTGTAAATTCAGGATGAGTCTACATAACACCAGTTTATTCTGTAGGCGCCGCCAGCAACTGTATTTAAATGAGTCTGTGCGGCAGGCGACTGGTTGCGCGGGGGAGGCCAGCGTGCATGGAGCTGAAAAACACCCAGAATCGGTGTTAGCAAAGGCAGTTTTTCCATTAGCTCTGGCGTTTCTGTATACACTGCGAAAAACGAAAATAAACCTTTTCCCTCATGCTTATTGCCTTGAGAGCAACATTTCGCGGTGTCGCTTTTGCAAGTCTACCCACCCTTCTCGGGGAGAGGGATCACCATCCTCCGGTGTGCACATCTAAATTTTTCATCGCTCCTCCCTGCCTACCTGGGGTGGCCGCACCCCCTCCCCGACCCCTCCCCTGTCTGCTCTTGGAAACGTGTCAACAAATCTTCGGGTATGACTACCCTGCTGCTACCGCGGTTTCTGCGATGCCACGTACACTGCCACAACCAACTTTACGTGAATGCCAGTTTAATATCGTCCCTTTTCGGCGCCCATGTCTTACTAACATGTCAACACCACATTGATGTATGCCTCACTTGGCGGCTGAATAGCGGCCTGGTGGCAGATCTATTGCATCTCTCCCTTGGTCAGAACCTTGTGTGTGGCTGGAATTCGCCCATTATGCCCCAACTTTAGCATGCTAGCCTGCGGGGTGTGCTGCTACGTAGCAAAATGAATCGCTTGTTTGGCTCTGCGAATCCCCACTAGCAGCCATTTGCGGTGTTTGTAGTTCTCTCGGTCCCTCTAATGTACGGTCTGCATACACCGACAGCAGCTGAGCGGCTAACAGTATTTATGCAGGATGCATATTCAATGAACGCAGAGGCACCAGAATGGGCTCCAATTTATTCTTTCATATTCACGCCTTGCCAGCAACTGCAAACGAACGCCCTGCTGCACTGGCTGCTGTGTCTTAAGACGCTGAGCAGACAACAAACACAGCTTTGCAGCTTGCAGGTGAAAAGGCGCGAGATCCTATCAGACGACACCTTTGCGGCATTACCGCTGCCAAACCTTTTTTGTGCATGCCTGGATGTGCTTCCACCAGTATATTTCGGGCACATTGATCTTCATCCTTTCGCGAGCTGTCAACGAACACCCACTTCTTGCACACTGGACAGAGTCCTTGTTTACGGCAACGGCCCCGCTGATCTTGCGACGTGCGCCTAGCCTCTGGCTTCGGGTATGCTCTCCCGGAGAGCGACGAGATGCCGTGGAAGTAATTCAGATGGTACCTACTCGTGGGGCCGCCCAACCGAAACACACAGTTCGCAACAGCATGCGGTAAATGTGGTTAATAGCGCCTTGCGATAAATAGCAGGTCTTTTTATAGATCAAGCTTCTCTATCCTTTTCCTTATTCGCCTGCGCCAATTTTTGCAAGACCGCAAAATCGGATGTGCCATTACATGCCATGACGTATCGTGTGCACTCCACTTACCAGTAGGCGCTGCACTTTAGCCGTTTCCACCCAACCTTGCCTTCCCTGTAGCACATTGGACAGAGTCCTTCTTTCTCCTTGCCAATGCCACGGATCCAGCACGGTGTGTATAGGTCGTCTGGTCCCCGAGTTTCGTTGCGCTCGCACTGGGAAAAATCAATACAGGCGCTGAAGCTACTGTCATCGCTGTTAGTGGCGTCCCTACCATTGCCGTTGCTGAATGCGTCCCTGCCGCCACCGTAGATACTGTGCAGCTCCCCACCCATCGGCGCACCGCCCATCAACGCACTCCTTTCAGCATCATATGCATCGGCATACTGATTTCTGTCAAAGCTGCCGCCGAAATTTACACTATCACATTCACGACCTATCTCCCCACCTTGATGGTCATGGAAATTGTCGGTCTCTGAGTCTTCATCAATATACATTGGATAGCTTTGGTCGCTCTCGCCCTCAATGCCCACTGAGGCACCGTTGCTGACCATAGAGCTCCGCCGGTTGGCAAGTGCCGTGTAATCAGTAGCCTCGAGATCCTTGGGTGCAATTGTACATAAATCCTCGAAATTCGGCCCGTCAAACCAGAGTATGTCTCTTGCCATGGCTCCGAGGCTGCCAGAGCTGCTGCTCACGCTGGTAATGGCGCTGGAGTCCAGCCAGTCCCCTGATCTAGAGGCAGTGGCACTGGGCACATAATGAGTTGCACCAGTGTCAGAGGTGGATGGCTGATCCAACAGTGCCATGGCAGGTGCAGCAGCGCTCAGTCCCAGGTCTCCAATAATGAGCCCTATGAAGTGGTGGAAGTCGCAATTTTAGAACAAGAATCCACATGTATGTTGTTTGGATGAGGATCGGCCTACTGGCGTTTACGTCATGGCGGCAAATCTGAAAATAATTTTGCGCATTGATCGACATAGGATCTAAAAATAACTGCGCGTTCTGGCTGCTGGTCCTCCATCCTCTGCCTCCTTCCCATTGTGTAAATGTGAGCAGTGGTTTCTCACACAGACACAATGAACAGCCAAGCTGAGACTGCGGTCCAATCCCGGTCCACGTAACATCGCGCAATTGCAAATAAAACACATTCTGGCCATTGCCTCCACAATGGTCGAGCAGTGAGAGTATTCTGGCTGGGATTGTTGCTGCTGTTGCTATTGCTGTTGCTGTCGTGGATGCCTTTTGGGGGAGGGACAGGGAGCTGACCGCTGGCAGATGATCAGCCGCTCATATTAACCAAGGAGGGGTTTGCAAGCCAGTCTCTGTCTGTAAAAGCGTTTGTCTACCTCGGCTGCCGTCACACTACGTTGTTGGCACCTACGAGTGGTGGATGAACAGCTCCAACCACGGATCTGCACAGACGATTACCAGCCAATTGCTCAATGACCGGAGTTCTTACCGTAACAGTCTAGCGGGTCCAACCAGCCCTGGAGCCCAGCGTCCTGTGCCTCTGTATCAGCCGACAGGCTGTCATCAATGAGCGTCGTAAAATCTGCTATCACTCTTGATGTCATTGGCAATTGGGGCTCTACAGCCAGTGACGATTGTCTTTGCAGCAAAGGAGGTTTGCAAAAAAAAAAGTTTATCAGTAAAAATTGTTGTTTTGAAGCGGGCTTCCTGCAGTGCATATACGATTACACTGCGCATATTTCGTCTAGGAGAGCAGGTGCTCGTGCATA